ACACCTTCCCTTGGAAACAAAAAGTATGTTGTTACTTTTATTGATGATGCATCTTGATATTGTTATGTCTATTTGCTACATTCTAAGGATGAAGGACTTGATAAATTTAAAATTTATAAACAACAAGTTGCCTTTATTACCGAATCTGATGTTTTATGGGTTAGATGTATTAAATGGTTGTATGGTGATTCAACAGGCTTGATGGAGGGTTCTCAGATTCCTTCAAAAGGGAGGGGGGGAGGGGTCGAAAATTATCGGATCTATAAATGCTCTTCATGATAGATAGTGTATTCCTAGATCTTCTACATCTAGGGTTCTTGGGACTGGTGCTGACACGTGCTTTAGGAAAGATATTTGGTGTAATGGTTCTTTACTCAAACAACAATTTCATAGGTTGTTTGCCTTATTTAATTCTCAAAAAGCTATGGTTAGTGATTTTTGGTCTTTCAGCGGGTGGGTCTTCTCTTGGCGTCGTCAGATTAGGGGTGGTGCGGAGTCTGACCAACTTAATAATCTCATGTCTTTATTAAGTTCAGTTTCTTTGGGTTCTAAGTAGGATAAGTGGGTTTGGTCTTTTGATCCTTTAGGTTATTTTTTCTGGCAGGTCTGCAATAAGGCTTATTAATGTTGTTCGCTTGCCTCAAGGGGGAATGTCGACCAGATGGAATAGATTCGTCCCGATCAAGATCAATATTTTCATGTGGTGTGTGTTGCTCAAGCGCCTCCCGGTCAGAACGAAATTAGAAGAGAGGGGCTTGGATTTGGACTCGGTTATGTGTCCTATTTGTCAGGATAATCAGGAGACTATTTCACATCTTTTTTTTTCAATGCTCGTTAGCAGTTCAAATTTGGAATCGGGTGGCCAAGTGGTTGGATTTAGATCTTTCGGTTTTTATTTATGCGGTGAATATGGTGGAATGGATTGACGTGACTCGAGTGGCGAGATTGGAAATTGTGAAATCCAATCCTATCTTAATTTGTTGATTCTATCTTTATGGAGGTCATTTGGGTACTTTGGACCAAAATGCAGTATTATTTTAGCAATCTAAGTTTAAGAAACAGTTTATTTTTTATAATATTGTAGATAATTCCGTTTCTTGTTTTTCGTTTCCAAACTCTAAAGCTAGGATGCATTAGGTCGCTTGGTTGTAAAATCCAATCCTATCCTAATTTGTTATTTTTTTGCTAGCTACTAGCTAGCTTTTCTTTTGGTTTTAATATAATGTTGTTGTTCTATAAATTAAAAAAAAACATCAATCTAATACAGAAAAATCAAATTTAATAATGCTATTTCAATTTTCAGCTTTTATCATCTATCTAAGACTATCCCCATCGGCATAAAATTAAATTTTTGGTTGATGAATATATATATTAAAATAATCTAAAGATGTTTACAACTCCACATAATATGTTTCTATAACAAACTTCATTCGGTTATTTTTTTTATTATTACTTTTTCCAAATGTTTTGATAAAAAGAAGAAATGTATAGTCATTTAATAAAGTTTAATTTTAAAAAACAAACAAAACTATTTAGACAACATTTCTTATCTTCTAGGTATGTGTACTACAAAAAAATCAAAAATTATAATTTTTTTCCTATAAATAGACTATAATATCGACATATTTTCATATTCAATTATGATTCTCTATTTCTTATCTCTTTCGATTTCGTATTTTCTATCATAGATCCTTCATTTCCAAATACATTTCATTTGAATTTTGGTGGCTCTCAAAAACATCCAAATACTCAATACTACGAAAAATATCAATTCTTTTCTAATGTCAATCAAGCCTCTGTCATTGAAATTCTTCAAACCTCACAAAACATTGAAAAAACAACCACGAGCAAATAAATGGAATGTTGCTGAAGATATCACTTTAATGTTAGCCTAGTGTATTGCTAGTCAAAATAAGACTCGTGGCAAAAACCAAAAAAAGTATCATTATGGGCACGAGTAAAGGAACTATATGTTGAAGCTCATGTTGAAAATCAAGGAAAGATTGGTAACAGAAACGAAGATCAAATGAGAGGTCGTTGTAAACAGCTTAGCGAAAATGCCCAAAAGTGGGTTGGTGCCTATCAGGAAGCATATCGTCGAAAAAGAAGTGGAATGAGCGAGAGAGATATTGAGAACGAAGCTCATAAACATTATGAGGCAAAGGGGAATGGAAAGTTTAACGATTTAGTTGTTTTTAATGAAGTTATGTGTAAAATTCCGAAGTGGGCTTTACAAAAAGATTGTAGCACAACACGTTCACATCATGCATGTGAGGAGGATAATGAAGAAAGTGGTAGCAGCACAAAAATATCAAAGACTACTGAAGAAAGGGACTACTCCAACCCGGAGACGCCAAGTAATGGTGGTACAACAATTCAACGTCCAACGGGTAGTGATGCGGCTAAAAGAAAAGGAAAAGGTAAGGTTTCTAATGATTACATGCATTGAGAATGGAAAAATTGCCCCCCCCCCCTTGGGCCGGACAATATGCAGGTAGAAACGGTAAAACAACAAGTTGTTGCATCGTATGACTTATGGATATGTCATGTATTCTTTGGAACACTAGGTTCGTGCAGTGATATTAATGTACTCCATCGCTCTCCTATTTTTTGTGATGTATTGGCAGGTCGAGCACCAAATGTGAGTTACGTTGTGAATGGTCAGGAAAGTAATATGACATATTATCTCACTAATGGCATTTATCCTTATGGGATGCCTTTGTCAAGTCAATAACTGCTCCACAAATCCGAAAACACAAGTTGTTTGCTGAACATCAAGAGTCTGCCAGAAAAGATGTTGAACGGACATTTGGAGTTTTACAAGCCCGTTTTGCATTTCTTCGACGTCCATGTCTAGTGTGTGACAAAGATGTTATGGGGAAAATCATGATATCTTGTATCATTATTCATAATATGATCGTTGAGGATGAACGAGACACATACATTCACTATTATGATCCAACCGAATTTCTAAATGACATACATGCAAACCAACAACAAAGCAGTTCTACTCAAGATGATGAACAACATTTTGAATACTCTACCGAACGAATTGCAAGCCTATCCAATTATATGACCAGTAGAAAACAACTTCGTGATAAAGAAGCTCATATCATTCTAAAAAACAATTTGATTGAGCACATATGGAAAAAATTTGACAGTTACGAATAATATGTATGTTGTACCTTCTAAATATTTAATTCTATATTTCATGTTACATTTGTAACTTGATTTATCATTTTTATTAAGTATGTTTGATAATTATTATATAGTTTTATGTCTATTTTTTAATATTTTTTATATCTTAAATAAATAAATTATTTGTTTCTAAAATAAATAATACTTTTAATAAGTTTTATTTGAATAAAAAAATATAAGTTATATTTATTTAATAAAAAAATTGATTTCCCTTTGGTTGTTAATGGTAGTGAAAGTTTAGATTTTGTTAGGTTGTATAGATGGAGGAAATATAAATTAATTTTTTAATAAATAGATATGTTGGGTTGGGTTGTGAACGAAGATAGTCTAAAACCCAGATAAAAGAATGAATCATAAATACAAGAAAAAACATCATAAATGGTCCCTGTGGTTTCCCAAAATCTGAAGTTTAGTCCCCGTT